CCCAGAAAATAAAGTCTAACATTGTTTATGTTAATAACACTTTGGTAATCAGATTCTGTCAGTGTACAGTAGAAGTACTATTCAATCAACTCTGATTAAACAAAGGGAGATGGATTCCCCCTTTAAAAACCATAATTAAAATCAACAAAATTAACTCGGATTCAACGAACACACAAATGAGCGGACTCAGATTCAACGAAGTCGCTTGCTTGGCGAACTAACAGCTCTCCACTGATGAGGCTTCGCGCAGTTTTCTCCCGCAATGACCTTATCTACCCCATTCCAAGAAACCACCAATCGCATTAATTGCATCGTGGATCATTACTCGCATAACCTATAAACTAACCTATTGCGAACGTCTTATACCTCCAATCAGAAGTCTTTTTCACAGAACTACGTGCATTTTCGACACGAGCGTAACACATGGGGTCGGGTGGCTTTTGGTGCTTGTGTCATGAGGAATTGGTGGGTGGTCATTTGGCTATTATTTTACGCTTTGGCGAACATTTCATCCACACAAAAAAAATGGGAATGAAGTTTTAAAGATTCGAAAAAAAAACCTTTAAAGGAAGTGTGCCATTTCATCCTGTGAGAGCTAAATATCTGGCATCACTAGACGTCTGCCCGGTGACCAAAAAGGCTGGCGGGCGTCTGTGTGACAAGTATCGGGTTATGAAAAAAGTACAGCTATTGGGTCCTCGATACATAATATATTATAGCTTTGCTTCTATCTTCAATTTCAATTTAAGTAAAGTTCAGCTTAAGCTGTAGGCCTACATGTATTTGGATGACACTCGTTTTTCCCCCTGCACATGGCATTCGTGCAAGACAAAATCTAGATGAGTCAAAACTGGCAACAGTTTGTATCTACTTTCTGTGTCAGTCTTCCACTTGTCAAGATGGCAATCGGTACTATATTACCGTTTTGCCGCCAGCCCCGCTGTACCGCCAATCTCATGCTCGTCTCAAAGAAGGCAGTACAACGGGGTTTGACAGTACAGTGTGTAGCAAGTGGACGTGCCAATGCGAAGGACAGGTACACAAGTCTCGTTTGCTTCGTGCGGACTTTTGTTCTAACGTGACGACACACACAAAGATTCATTTCCTTTTATATCAATTATTATTTTGCACAAGGTTTAATTTCCTTGTTTGTGTTGTACCATCTTGGGCAGTTGCAATGTTTCCTTCCAAATCTTATCTGTACCTCGCTGAAGGCGTAATTTCTTTTACCTGGTGGGGGAAGTATTTTGTTGTTATTTTTTAAAAACGGAGAATCATAGTCTGTCAGCTGAGATACTTTATCCTATTCAGCCTGGTTTGGTCCTTACTGCCAGCGTCGAAGCTGCTGTCCCTAAATAATGTATACTGTGTCGATCGGATAAATTCAGAAGAACCGTCTTTTTTAGAGGGGCTGGGGGCTCCATTTCAATAATTAAGATTCATCAAATATACGTTTAAGTTTTAAAGGAGGAGGGGTGGGGTAAATAAAAAGGGGACAGGGAGGGTGGGGGAAGGAGTGATTTGTTTCGTTCGATTTGGGGTTGGTTTTGTCTTTATAACTACAGTTGTGCATATTTATTGCCTACTAAATTCCCGTACGGGACCAGATAAAAGCACGGATCTCTATAGAAACGTTAAATATTGTTATTATTATTTTTTAAAGTTATTATTCTTTAAAATGTGTTTT